GCAGGAGCAGCGAGGTCAGCCTGACCCAGCCCTGCCCGTCCCCGCTCGGGCCAAATGTCCCCTTGGCAAACAGGACACTTACACTGCGAGGAGCAGCAGCTCTCAGAGGTGGCTCACACCGTCTGCTTGCTCTTGTATGATGACTTGGGAGCCCCAAATCCACGGGGGGGAGCCGACGTAGGGGTCCCAGGAGAGCCTTGTGGTCCTTGCTCTTCTCCGAGGCCAATTCCTTCCTGCGGCAGGAACTCCACATCGGTTTTGGGAGCGGGCACTGGTGTGCTCAGCGCTCACCGTCCCGGAGCGCTGCACAGTAGCTGACCCCAGGGCAGGCAGCGCTCCCTGCCCAACACATCCATGGAAGCAGTGGCAAAGTCCTGGTCCTGGTCCCAGGGCGCTTTGGAACCAAAACCCACCTCCAAACTCTGGAATAAGGCATAGAAAAGTTAATTAACGGAATAGTTGTTTTTTAAACAATGTCTTCACCCTGCAGACAGGAAAGCCATATTTTTCTGCTGCAGGCAGAGCATTTATGTAGTATGTAAAACCCCTCTATTTTTGCATCAAAGGCAAAACTTACTCCTTCAGCATCGCTCCCATGGCTGCTGGCACAGCATTTGGCTCGAGAGAGGTGCTGGTCACGGGCTGGGCAAGGACACGGCTGGGGAGGGAAGGTGGAGGGTTCGCATATTGACCTGAAAACCAGTGGCTGCCCTGTTGATGCTATTGAAAACTCGCACAGTTGGAGAAATCCCTCGTTTCCTTCCAGTCCCATGTTTTCCCAGGCCCTGCTGGGAATTAATCTGGGATTCCAGTTACTGGAGCTGCTGGCAGGAGGGGAGGGAGAGCCAGCGCCAGCTCCCCAGCAGCGCTTTTCCCGGCTCTCCTGCTCCTGCCAAACACGAGCGTTTCTTTTGGTGCAGAGCGCTGGTTTCACTTTTGTGTTCAGCTCAGCGGCTGCTGGAAAGCAGGTTCATCTTTGCCGGAAGCAATTTCAGTTGCTCTTCACCACAAGAGGAGCCCAAATTCCCTCCTCCGAGGCTTTCAGGGTGCTGATGTTCAGTACAGCATGAAGAAATGGCAGTTCTTAACGCGAGAGACAGCATCCTCGCAGACTTCACTCAGAAACAGCCTTTCCTCTGGGGAGGGAGGATCCCTAAACCCACTTAAATCCCTTTGCAGTCTTTTTTTATTCGGATGAAGCGAGGAGATTGCAGCAGCTGTCACAACCTGCTGGGACTTTCGTTTCCCGTTTTCAGGCGGAGTTCCCCACAGCACACTGCACCCGTGTTATCTAGCAGCCACAAGTGTTTATTTAAGTGTTCAGCGATCAGTTTGACACTTGAAGTGCTCTGCCCGGCTGTAGCTTTGCGGCAGCTCGTGGTGCCTGTGAAACTGCAGCTGCTGCCACGTGACGGGTGAAACTTCCCCTTCCCGGTCAGGCAGGGCCCAGCTGCCGAGGCCGGAGCCAGACCCGCACCTTCAGCTCCTCAGGTCAGACGGCCGGTGCCGGCGGGTGGTGGGACAGGGCACGGGTCCCTGCTGCGGGACCAGCCGGGGTAGCTGCGAGAGAGGGTTTAAGCCAAGCAGGGCAGCTGAGGCTAGGGGACCTGGGGGTAGAGATGTTCCCTGTGCCCCGCTCCTCCCAGTGAAGGTTCTCAACAGCGTGTGCTTGTGCAGTGGGAACACGCGGTCTCTTGGGGTTGCTAGCCTGCAAAATATTTTCTTCTTGCATTTCAGAACAGAGGGTTCTCAAAGAAGAGTCACACATTCCTGCCTAAACTATTTAGAAAAATGTCTACTCAATCAGCGAAAGAAAGACCTGAAAGCTTGCAGTTCCCTTTCCTTGACGATGAAGATACCATCTCCACAGTCAAAGAATCTAAAACCTTTTTTATTTTAAGAGGCCTGCCTGGCAGTGGGAAGTCCACTCTTGCCCAGGCTATTCAAGATAGGTATAAAGATGCCTGCAAGGTCGTCTCTGTTGATAGCTATAAAATTACACCTTTAGTAAGAAGCACCATTCCTGAAGAGTATTCAAAGGTGGATGAGGATCTAGTTGACTATTGCAAACGAGAGATCAGCGTTATCGTTTTGGATGACACTCACCACGAGAGGGAACGACTGGACCAACTCTTTGATATTGCTGACAAATACCGGTACAAAGTCATCTTTGCTGAGCCCAAAACCCAGTGGCGAATGGATTGCTTGCAGCTGAAGGAAAAGAATCAATGGAAACTGCCAGTGGAAGAGTTGAAGAAGATGAAGCCGAGCTTGGAGAAGGAATTCCTACCCATGTATTTTGGGTGGTTTTTGAGCAAAAGAAGTTCAGAGATCCTGAGGAAAGCTGGCCAGGCCTTCTTAGATGAGCTTGGAAGTCTCAAAGCCTTCAAAAAGGAGAGTAAATACTGTATGTATAAAAGTATCTTACCAAGTTCTTATTCTGTCAATGAAATGTTAATACTCAGCAAATGGAACGAGTTTAGTCAGGTTCCAAAGTGAATTTCTAGTTAAAGTTAGCAACAAGAAAAACTGTGTAAAGCTACTAATCCGATTCCCATAGTTGACAAAGTTGCTGTTGTAAGTAAAAATAAATGAAAGATTTTTTCCAAAGAAGTCTGTTTAGCTGTGACACTGTAGGGGGCTGGGTTTGGATGGCAGCAGCGTTACATCGGGTGGCTGGGCATCCCCTGGTTGCTGCAGTGAGTCAAAGAGAAAAGGGAGAGACTGAGCAATCTTGTCCCTTAAGGGATTCAACAACATCAAGGTTAAGACGAGCCATGATGATGCGCAGAAGCTTCTGTTTTCTAGTTACATCTGGTTAGCCTAGGCGGAAGGAGTTTTACTTACCCATCTAGTCCTTTTCAGCAGTAAGAAAGACGAAACATGAAGGACAGGTTGGTGAAGAAAGCTGAGATGGGACTTAGGCTTGTGGGGTGCCATCAGGGGGATCATTTTTTGATAGTAATATTGTTTACCTGTATTTACAGTTGCTTCCGCTATTGAAGATCCCAAAATAAAAATAGATCTCACCAGCTACTTTGTGAAGAGGCCGCCCGGGGTCTTACACTGCACCACAAAATACACCGAGTTTGGAAAAGCAGCCGGAGCTGAGGAATACGCACAGCAAGAAGTGAGTGCCGGGGCTCCGACTCCTCCCCACGACCCCAGTCTCCCTCCCCCTTCCCAGCAGGGGATCCACAAGCCTCTCGGGGTGGGCTGGGGACGCGGCTTTGCTTGGAGCTGAGAGGCCCGTAGGGACAGTAAGTACGTCCACGTGGCCTGTGCAATAGAAAAGTATAATTGTGGGAGAGATGGTGACTATTTCCTGTTAGCTTCCAAACAAAATACCCCATCCCCATCCCCCCCAGCATCATCTCCAATAGCCCGATTTGGATGATGATGAGTTAAGGTATTTACAGTTCAGCTAAATTACTTCAGAACAGATGAGCCCAAGTTAAATACTGGAATTGGTGAAAGGAAAAGATGTAACCAGCTCCGAATTCACGGAGCAGGAACTTCAGGCCGTGATCTTGTAGTTGCACACAGTATCTCAGATAGGTCAAAGCAAGAGCTACCGTGACGGGCCAAGACCCCGCGCCTGCGGACAAGAAAGCCAACCGCACTGCTGTAAATCCCACCTGTCTGCAGGCAGTTAAAGCTGTGTTCCGGCCTTGTCTCCCTCTTCTCCCAGGCTGTGAAGGCTTCCTACAGCAAAGGCTTCACCTTGTCCATTTCTGCTCTGTTCATCACAACAAAAACTGTTGGTGCTCGTGTAGAGCTGAGCGAACAGCAGCTGCTGCTGTGGCCTGGAGACGCCGATAAGATCCTGCCCACCGACAGCCTCCCGAAAGGCAGCCGGGCTCACATCACCCTCGGCTGTGCCAACGGCGTCGAGGCAGTCCAGACCGGGCTCGATCTGCTGGAGTTTGTGAAACTGGAAAAGGCAGGGAACAAAGGGGATGAAGTGGGGGAAATTGGAGGAGGGAAACTGCTGTATTTTGATAATGGTATGTGGATGCTCGTCCTTTCTAAAAAGATTGATGTGAAGGCGATATTCTCAGGTTACTATGGAAAAGGAAAACTTGTGCCAACGCAGAGCACCAACAAACGGGGCTCTGCTTTTAGTTCCTGCACCATCATCTAGGAGCATGGGCAGGGTCGCGAGTTTGTTTTTAAAAGGCAAGTAACTCCTGTAACCTTTAAAAGTGTAAAGAGAAATAATTCTACCTTTACTAAAGTAAGCCCTTTTGCCAACCCCAGTGTGAAGCCTCTCTGGGGAGAGTTTATTGGCCTCGGAGCGAGGAAGAAAACAAGCAACTCTTGACTGACAAACTGTCACATAACTGATGTCAATAACTGAAGTGCTGCTGAGTGTATTTTAAAGGAAGAGTTTTGGAGAGAACTAGCCGTGGTGGTCTGCTTGTTTTCTTCCTCGGAGGAAGATCTCCTATGGTCTTTTGTAACTTCCCTATGAACCACAATCGTTCGATCTTCACATGTCAGTACTACAAGCAGTGGCAGACCAAAGCCTGTACATAACTGGTCTGAAGCCAAGTGAAGTGAACTGTGTAATGTCTCTCCCCTTCGCCCACAGCCGAGGGACTGACATCAGTCATTCTGGTAGCTGAATTACTGGGTAAAAACCAGCAAGACCCAATTGTGGATCATTTCTGTCAAACGGGGCAGTTACTAATAGGTTAGCCCATAAGAAGAGAACTTGCAGAGGGCAGCGGGGTATATCCAACAGCCTCGATCAGAGGTCGGTCCTGCAGCCCCGTGGCCGGCCAGTCGTGCTCTACCCCAGCTCATGTTCGCTGTTTGCATGTGCAGGCTTCCTTCACTGCAGGGAAGAGACATGCTGTGAGCGGACAGAAGGAAAGCACGATGCCAGATGATGTCTTAAAGAGCCATCGTGGACTGGGGGGGGGGGGGAAATCACCGAAAGGAAAACAAGTGAAATACCAGGCGAGGCATTCCGTTCCTGTAGCAGGGCTCCAGTCACTTCACGTGTCAGAGTGGGCTGGACCGAGCACTGTCCAGTGTCCTTGTCCTGTAGGGAACAATCCTGCCTTGGCAGGGAGTGGAAGAGATGAACTAATGTCTCTTCCATCTTATTTTATAGAAACTAAAATCATGTCTGAAGTATAGAACTGTACTTCATGCAAGATTTTACTACTTTTCTCTAATGCACTTGAATGTTAAAAGTTAGGATGGCAGTAACATTGTAATTTAGGAAGTAAGTGGAGGTATCGTAACTGCGTAACTTAAGTCTGCTCAAACCTAAACCATTGGCTGGAAAAAAAGTTAATGATGAAGCACTTCTGTTTTATTGAAACTGATGTTTTTGCTCTTAGCCAGACCGTCTGCCAGTTGGCCAGTGGACACGCGGTCACTACTTTACTGTAACACAAAGCTCAACTAATGGATTCAGGTCAGGACAACAGTTTAAACTCATGCTATGGCTCAGCGTTTGGTGAACTGCATAGTGAAATTAATCCCGCATTAATACATGTAAATACTTACTGTCTTTGACAAGCGTGTGCTGGGCTCGCATCTGTGAAGGAGCTGTCGTGTGGGCACAGCTCACCTGCAGCTGGGTGCGCACCGAAACCATTGCTTGGGAAGCCCGACGCTGCCTGCGCAAGAAGCGTTTCTCCTCTAAATGCTTAAAACAAAAGCAAGGAGTGCTTTGGGGCTAATCTGGTAAACACTCTGCAAGTTTACCAACAAAGCAAAATACTTCCTGCTGTTTCAGAAGGATGGATGACAATAAATTCGCATTGTAACGTAAAAAAAATTATACACCCCCATAGCACCTGTAATCCTCCCTTGCCTTCAAGAGAGAAAGCCCAGCTAGCTTCTGCGCCGGCAGAGGGGCGGGTGCCCGATATTCAGCTTGGGCCTTTCCTAACAGAAATCTCACATGGGTTTGTCCCATGCAAACTTTAAAAACGCGTTGGACGGCTCCGGCGGGAGCAGGTGCACGCCGACCCCCTCTCCTCCAGTGCCCCGGGAACGACCCAATGCTCCAGATCACATCCAGCACTGAAATGCACAGCTGGAATATTGTGTTTATTTGCCTGTTCAAGAACAACAGTGAGACTGTCTTCATTTAAGTTTTTATTAGTTTGTACATCATATACAGTTTATAATAAAGTAAACCAATTGCATATGGTTTTGCTTCAGTCCGTGATATTCGTCATATAAACACATCATTATGAATTATGCCTAATGAAGTAAACAACAAATATTCACATTTTTACCATTCACATCCTAGAAAGGTAAGGGTCCAAAGAGGGACAGTGTTCATACCGATGTGAAGCCTGTCTTAGGGAGGATGACGCATTTGGCAAAGCGATGGGGATAGTGATTGCTCCATGCAATACGCCTTTCCTCCCACTGGAAAGGTTACGATATTTACACTGAGGTAAACATTCAGAATTTCGATTCAGATAAATACTGCAGCACAGGGTCTAGCGTCCTCTCCAAGTTGGCTTCACATCGGTGTCTGGTTTTGTCTTGACTATTCCTTAATGTCGTTACAACAACGCAGATATGCATGCAATGAAGGTGCTCGTTTGCTGTTTCGCACTAAACCCCTCCAACATCGCTTCATGCGATTCTCTCTTTTGAAGCATGAGCTATTAAGTGAAAGCAGGGAGGAAGATGGGGTAATCGACGTGAGACTGGCTACGCCAGAACTGCAGCCAAGCCGCACGCCCAGCCAGAGGCAGCATCCCAGTTCTCCCACCAAACTCCTGCCTTCCCAAGCCACCCCGATCACGCCAAAGCTCTAGCTCAGTCACGCCGTGTTGCAGACGATGCCTCATCTTGGCATCCTGCTCACATTTCATACCAGGGCTTTCCTTCAGAGGTCCGATCTATGCTGGAGTGAAAACTTGCCTAGCACTACTCAAAGAAGAAGGGATAATGCTGTCCCTGACTCTGCGGGAGTGGGGAAAGGGTCAGGGTACATCGAGGAAGGCCAAAGCATTACGCATCGTCTTTCAAAGCCAAGCACAGGTCCTGCTGCCCCGGTAAGCAGGGGCAATAGGGACCGCTCCAGAACACAGCGCGGCTGCGCGTGAGCGGCCTCCGGGAGAACGGAGTCACGGAACTGCTGCGATCCAGCCTGCCACCCTTCAGCCTCATTACAGCACTACTGCAACGGCCCGAGATGGACCTCAGCACCGCTCGGGGAGACTCGGGTAGGTGCAACACACGAGCTGTCCTTTCTCCCTAAGAAAGGGGAGGGGAGGGTACAAGGCACAAATTTAAACGGGATGAAAACCATCCACTTGAAGATAAGTGAATATCTTTAGTTATTACTGAAACTGAGGAAGTAATTTTGAAAGAAGAGCAAACCACTGTGTGGTCCAAATGCTTTGGTCATTCAATTGGTTGAAGAGCGATTCGGCCGAGCGCAGCCCTCCGGCACGGCCGGCTCAGAGACCAGCGCTCGCGGGTGGGCGCAAGGGCTGAGCCAGTTTCCGTATCGGAAACAAAACAACAGCACAGCAGCTCTCACTCTGTATCCCCGTCAGATACAGAAAGCTGAGGGACTTGCAATATTCCATGGATAATAATACCGTTGTCCCTAAACAATTTTTTTTTTCTTTCTCCTTTTTTTCAATTCGCATTAATGTATTTACAAAACAGTCAGAAGCCTTTAGCACTAAGGATCCAGCTTTACAGCAACACTTCCAAGTTCACAAACGAAACCATGTACTTTCCTATGTAGCATGTGTAGCCGAAACAACGAAGAGCCTGTCAAAGTGGGCAGCCAGAAGCATCTTAATGGTCTTTACAGCTGATTTCAAGTCCAGGTTCAGGGTATCTGGAAAGGACTCTCTCAATACTCCCCCTCCAAAAGGTGGAGCTGACACAGCATCAGATTTGTAAAGTAAATCCACACAAGAAAAAACACACCAGGATTCGTGGTCCAGAGGTCAGACCATTGTACATGCAAATATCTCCCACACTAACATTACTGATGAATGTTTTCATTTTTAAAGCATGAAATTGCTTCCATTTTAATTTGAAACTATCCCTACAGCAGCTCAGACACCACAAGTATCATGATTAGGCAAAACAACATCAGAGAGAAAGCGTAATAGTCAAACAATTCCTTATCTCCTTGTAAACGCTATATAGTCATGACAACAGAGCCTCACTTCACATGCTTGGTCTGCCGAGAGCCACGCTCCCCCCACACACACGCCATTACTCCGGTAGTTTACAACTTTCACGGAGGAAGCCAACAGCTACTCCGTCAGTTATCGAGCTGTTCAATAGCAACTACTTCCATCACATCTGCTAAAAGATCCCTCCCGCACACACCAGCCTGGTCTGGCTTTCAGCCACGTCAGCTCTGCTGTCTCTGGGTACAGGAGCTCTCACAGCACCAACAATTCCCCTTTGGAAACACCGCGCAGGAGCCGGCAGGCTGAGGGGCAAACGTGCGCCACGCAGCGCAAGCTGCTCGGAGCCTGTATTTCGGGCAGAGCAGGGCACAAGGGATTCTGCACACGGAACAGTCTGGGGGCGCGTTTAGGTACGTTTCAGCGTTAAGTATTAAGGCTCTTGCTGTTATGCCAAAAAATAAACCTTTTAATAATTACAAAGACTGACTTCCAGAAAGATAACTCTTTTCATTAAAAGGAAGGGCTTTACCATCGGTTTCTTCCACCTGCCAAGTTCACGCGGTGGCCTACAGTCACACCAAAGGGAACAGCCCGCTTCTAAATAAGGCTCGATGCATGTATATCCCACTGTGCTTGTGCTTCCAGAGTATCACCTACAGTCACTGCCTCCTATCACCTTCATTAGCTCTTTATCGTTCTACAAAAAGCACAGGCATAATATCACTTTAAGATACTTATTCATTATCTCTGTGGCAAATTCCTACGTCTGGCAGCTCCTATCGAGCCGAAGGAAGCCTGGGAGGTCTGTAGAGTGGTAGCAGCTGGAAAAATGGCACTAAGGTTCCCTGTGGCTATATACAAAATACAACCCATGAATAACGTTCTAAGTGGAACTACCAAGTGTGAAAGGCAACATTTCAATCAATGCACATCTAAGCAGATTTTTCTGAAAGAAACAGAGTCCCGTGCCTCCAAGCCGTGCTAGGACACGACGGAGGTTACAAGCCACCGCAGCTCTGCCTCCAGGCGCTGCTGCTGCTGCCCTGAGGTAACGGCAGTCACCGAGCGCCGCTCAAACCCCAGTGCTCTGTGCAGAAGGGAACATGTGTTCGCCTTCACTTTGAATCACCCCATAACGCTCCTTAGAAAAGCCTTGGCACTCACCATATTAATACTTAACTACATTAAATCATG